AGCTCCTGCCAACCTAGCAGTTCGAAAGCACGCCAGTGCAAGTAGATAAATTGGTACCACTGTGACAGGAAGGTAAACAGCGTTTCCATGCACTCTGGTTTCCATTAAGGTGTTCTGTTGTGCCAGAAGCTGTTTAGTCATGCTGGCCATATGACCTGGAAAGCTGTCTGTGGACAAACGCTGGCTCCCTCTGCCTGATAGCAAGATGAGCGCCGCAACCCCATAGTCGCCTTTGACTGGGCGTAACCTTCCAGGGGTCCTTTTAACCTATCACCTGAATCTAATACATTGGTGTTAATTAATTTCATGGGCGGAGTGATAAGCACGAGCCTCACAATGCAAAGTAATTTCCCCCATTTTTGGTGAGGAATTATGCTGGCAGCTTTTCAACACCAGTAAGTCCAAATAAGGGTATACTGTCACTTGTGCAACATAAACAAATGTTTTGTTGTTGTTGTTTGAAGTGACTTCTGCTGATATGGTGGCTGTGTCTTGTTTTACAGACATTGCCGCCCCCCCCCAGTTGCAGGGGGTTGGACTAGATGACCCTTGCGATCCCTTCCAACTCTACAGTTCTATGGTTTTTTGGCAAGTTGGTCCCCACACAGTAGACTGAGTGCACAACACAGCTCACCTAGCCAGTCTTCCCCACTATGGTAAGATGTATTTATATTTAAATTACATCATTCATTTCTGTGTTTGCACATGGACATATAAATTAGCATATGCAAATATTCTGCAAATCTCCACTCTTTTTTTGACAGTGCCTTAAGTAGCCATCCTAGTTCTGCTATTAGCATAGCTAGCTTTCAGTGGACACAGGAGACTTCATAGGACAGAACAGAAACCCAGCTGGTTTTTCATTGCACACAAAGGAGGATGTTTATATACTGATACATTTAGTCAGTTCTGATGGAGAATTTCGCACTCTAACACCAATGGAATAGCTACACACGTCTGCAGGCCTTTCACAGCCATGATTTAAATTAGTTTTCTTTGTAATTTCCCCTTTTCAAAATGTCCATACGACAAGTTGGCAGTACCAATGCTGGCCACTAAGCGGCAATATATGACTGAAAGTGTAAAAAAATTGAAATTGAGTGAGCGATTGAAGTACTAATCTAGGTGGTTCTGAATACACCATGTTCAGGTTTGACTTTTTCCTTATCCTTTGCTCAAAATTTGAAATCTTTCAACACTCCTACTATCATCTCATTTGTTTCTAAGAAACAGCAGTTTATTACAAAGACAAGTCAGTATTTGTGCACTGGAGAAAAACTATTTTTAAAGCATTTTTTATTAAAGATTTCTTGGTTTACAAAAGTATGTGCAATGTCTCTTTTTTCAAGTTACAATCATCTACAGATCACTTTCATTTGTTGAGACATTAGTGTTACATTAGGATGAAAAGGGGGAAAGAGGTGGAGGGGGCCATGGTGAGTGGGGTTGGGGTTGGGTGGCAATGTTTCTTTTCTACTTTATGTGTGGGGTTTTGTATCGGCATCGCCTGTGCAGGTTCTCTTTACTATTTGCTTGTCTTCCTTTGGTGGTGAGAGAGGTTGGGGTTGGCCTAGGGCAGGCTTCCTCAAACTCGGCCCTCCAGATGTTTTGAGACTACAATTCCCATCATCCCTGTCCACCGGTCCTGCTAGCTAGGGATCATGGGAGTTGTCGGCCATCTGGAGGGCCGAGTTTGAGGAAGCCTGGCCTACGGTGTGATTGTTTGTTTGTGATTGGCTGTGGTGAACTTTGTTTTCATGTGTGAGTGGGGTGGGTGGGTGGGTGTTTTTGAATCAGGTTAGCCATACTGTATCGATTTGTATGCTGTTGGCAGATTCTTGTTGTTGTCTTGTTGGGCTGTGTATGTGAATAAAGGGGAGCCATACCGGGGTGAAGGCGTCTTCTTCATTTTGTCCCTGTGTCAGTTTCAGTTTGTTGGTTAGTTTTTCTAATAAGGCTGTTTCCCATACTATTTGATACCATTTGCCCATGCTTACTCCTGACAGGTCTTTCCAGTGTCTGGCTATGATGTTTCTGGCTGCTGAGAGTAGGTGGGTTATGAGCTCTTTATGATGTGAGTGGGCATTATTCTCCTGGAAGGTGTTTAGCAGGGCCAGTTCTGGGGTGTCTTCTAATACTTAATTATTTTGCATATTTCTTGTATGATTGTTGTTCAGAATAGTTGGTTTTTGGGGCATTCCCACCATATGTGGAGGTACGTGCCTGTGGAGAAAAAACTATTGATGAACAAAAACCTGCTGATAATTTTATGTTGGAGATGAAATATTCTTACCCACTTTTTTTTTCATATTCCTAGGTAGTCAGACAGGTTAGAATTCTAACTGAATGGGAATAACAACAAAGTTTGGCATCTTGATCGAACTCCTCGCATGATCTGCTAAGAAAGCCTACCTGAATATCTGAAACAGGTAGGAACTTTGGAAAATGAACAAGCATAAGAATAATTGCATAAATGCTAATTGCACATTTTGTCCTGATTCTGATAGCTATAGAGTTGGGTGGGATAAAAGCCATGCAGAGCACTCAAGCCCCACCCTCTGCTTATTTCAAGTCCTGCTTTGTCTGGCTTCTGAAAATTCAGCACATACTGCCTATGTATCTTTTCAGTCATGAGGGCGAGAATCACCTTTTTTTAATAAAAAAGTTGAAATTCTCAGAAGGCTGAATTCTGTGTCAGCAAGTGGAAGCTATGTGTGTGTATGATGGTAGATGAATGGAATGCAAACAGTCCTTGTAGAGGTGCTCATCTAAGATTGATTAAGCTGGAATAAAAAACGTTTGATCTTAAACAATCCCAGCCTGCACAGCAGCTCATCCCTCTCTATATGAAAGAGGAGCCTGTGGCCATCAAAAGGGGAATAACTGGAATAATTTTAATTGCTACAGTTAAATGATTTTTAAATGGTTATAATATTTTTCATCTTTTCCTCATCTTTTTCTGTTTTCTGTTCTAATGCTTTATGGCTGCTTACTGACATCCTTACTTACTTACTGACGTCCTAAAAATTTGTATAATGGTTTTAGTTTTAACCTGTGCTGGGAACTGTAGTTTGTTAAGGGTGCTGAGAATTTCAGCTTGGTGAGGGGCAAACTATAGTTCCTGGGATTTTTGGAAAGTGGGAGAATAAGCCATGTGCTTTGACTGCATTGTGGTGTACACAGTGACAGCTAGGTCTTTGGCTCTCCTTTCCGCCTGTTTCCTTACTGAAAACACGAGGCTGGGAGAGATGGGGCGGGCCTTTGCCCGCTCTTCAATGCCCAAGGCGACCTGGTTCCTGGTAATGAACCCATGCCTCTGTCCCTTTAGAGACCATACTTTTCTGCCTTCGGAGGGAGAGAATAAACACTTCTCAGAGAGGGACCTCCCTGCTGTCTCTGGCTGATTCATTAATAGAAAGATGACTTGACCTCTTTCCACATGAGATTTGGAGTTGATTCGCACGTGCATGTATATGGCGTTTGAAATGTCATCACTCAGTGACCCACTGCTGAGTGTGTGAACCGTTTCTAGTTAAGTCAGGCAACATGAAATCGCTGCCTGCAGTGTTTGGCCTGAAAGGTCCCCTTGCTCTACATGCTGCTTAAATTTCTGACATTTGTGCAGAATATTTTTTGGGGCGGGGGGCGGGGTGGAGAGCAAAGGTGCGAGGCTTCCTCAGACCTCAAACTGAAATAGATGTTGTCAGACAAGAAAGGACACCATGGTGCTCTTGTATGAGACTCAATGTCAGACAGCGTGGTCCACAAGAGAGGAACATGCTGGTGCAAATTCTGCAGCTAGACATTGACCGAGCTAGGCCTCAAGCTTATTTACTTATTTAGCTACCTTCTGAGGAGTGCAAGGCAGTGCACATGGGTCATTGCCAAATGAAATGGCCAATAAGGCACTTAGTGCAAAGTCTTTTTTTTCAGAGCAGTTGTTTGAGTCAGAAACAACCAATCATCATTCCACAGCTAGGCCTCCCCTGCCCGTCCTTTTCAGAAACACTGATTCTGTATTGCTGGGGATACAAGAACATAGAATCTCAGTCATCTCCCTGTCCAAAAGGCAAGAACATTGTCCTAATAAGAGACCATTCCTCTGTCAACCAGACCAGCCTCCCCTAACCTAGTGCCCTCCAGATGTTCTGGACCAGAACTCCCATTATCCCCAGCCTGACCAACACCCAACTTGGCTGACCAATACAATCCACATGTGGGTAGAGATCACATGTGCTGCAGAACTTGCATTCAGAATTAACAGCTTTGGTTGACTCCTGCAAGTAAGTCAAGCTACATATTACTCAAGTCGTTTTATTACGGTCAATGACCAGTAGAGCTACATATGAAGGCAAACACATTCATGCTGTCGGGGTCCCTAGCAAATCTGATTTGGAAGAGGGGAATTCCTGCCTCTGGCATGGTGATCAGATCCCAAGTGAAAGCAAAACATATCCAAGAGAGGGTGTAACCTTCATGGCTTTTGCAAATAATTTTCGTTAGTTTGGTGAGGGCGTTGACAATTTTCTCTTGGAAATGCCTAGTCCCACTTTTAGAGCTCGTTAGGGAGATGAACTTACAATTAAAACAGTTTAACTTGTTGAGACATCCCAACAGATAGCCATTCCGTGTGTCACCTGGCTTCTTTAGACAGATCAAAATGTTGAAAAGCAGATGGATCAGAAACAGCCTTGTAGTGGCACTTGGAAAGTCCTGTGACAATTTTCTGTTTTTGAATTGGTAAAGTCTACCAGCTGAGACGGCCACTGCCCTCTGCCTGAAGAATAGGCAGTTATCAACTTTATGTACAAGCACACACATTCTTGCCAAATTCCAAATAAGACATACCCCCAAATGTAAAAGAGTAAAGTTTTTGTTTTAAAAAGAAGGGGGAAACCAAGCACATGAATGCCTTCCTAAAACAAAAGCCCAAACTTCACAATGTAATATTATTATTATTATTATTATTATTATTATTATTATTTACTGATGAAGCCAGTGGCAGAGATGAAATATGCATTTATAGGAAATAAAACCACAGAGGGGCAGGTGGCTGGCTGATTATTCAACAGCGCTCCCAGCAGCACAGGCAGAAGGAATTGAGACACTCGGCAAAACCGTAGCCCCAGATGGTACCCGCTAGATTGGTTAATCAGCCATGATCTTTTTCTAGCAGACACACGTGGGGTTGAAGAAATGCTGCTCTCTAGCCTCTCTCCTCTCGCTGCAGAGAAAGAAAGAAGGAGCATTAATGGTCTTTTTGTATAATACAAAATAAAATAACAGCCTTGTCCCCATCCCCCCCACTCCAAAGTGCACCAGCCATAATTTATATTTAATGCAGCATGTCCCCCAAGGGCTGACACAGCACCAGTAGAGCAATGCCTTGTCTTGCTGGAGGTGTGTGTGTGTGTGTGCGCACACACACACACACACACACACACACACTTGTTTGCTACTGCAAACAGCTATTGGGGGGGGGGGTTGGCGCTTGCCTGAATGAAAGCAATTCATTCCACTGATTCAGGACCAAGCTGAACATTAACAGTTTTATATTTAAACCCAGGTCAGCCACAGGTCACATGGAAAGCAAGGAAATCGAGAGATGTTTCGTTTTTAGGCACACAGTTTTTACCTTCTCCTTCAAGTGGTTTCTTCCTTAGCTAAGCTTTGACACAGGACACAGGCTCAGCTGGGAGAAAAGCACTTCAGGGTGGGAGGTTATACAAGGGAACAAGCAGCAGGCATGGGGAAAGTTCACTCCCCACCCCCATCTACATGCCCCTTTTGCTCTAAGATCAACCTCCATCTCCCTGCTTTATTCATACTCAGATTCAGAATTTAATGAACACATCTGCTTCTGTCAAACCTATTCTTTCTCCTAGTCTATTCCTTTTTAGTAGCATCTTCAGAGTTGTACATAAAGGCTGTGCGCATACTATACACTTAAAGAACATCGCTCCCTCCACCAAAGAATGCTGGGAATCATGGTTTACCCCTCACAGCTACAATTCCCAGCATGCTTAGCAAACTAAAGTACCCAGGATTCTTTGGCGGGGAAGTTAGGTGCTTCAAATGCATGGTGCGCCTGCAACCAATGGCAACAGACTTGCATGCAGGAGAGCTATAGTAAGGTTACATCTGCATCATACATTTAAAGCACATGTAAAACATAGGGCTTTCCCCTAATAATGTTGGGAACTGCACTTTGTTAAGGGTCCTTGCAACTGTAGCTCTGAGGGTAAAACTACAGTTCCCAGGATGCTTTGGGGGAAGACACATGCTTTAAATGTATGGTGTGGATGTGACACAAGTCTTTTTGTGCTCGCTGTGCATATGCTCCAGTGCTCACAGATGCAACACCCTTTATAGAAACTCAAGACATTTTGAAGGAAATATATATTCAGGAGCTTTAAAAGCTTGCAAGTTTTAAAATTCAAAAACACGTCATTCTTAAAGTTTGACCAAAGCAAGAACCAGCTTCGTAAATTAACAGAGCGCATTTCTCTCCCTTCACATCTGTGATGAATCTCCCCAGCCCAGCCCAACTCCATAATGCCAGGCATCTCTACTCCTCAGAGCATTGAATAGGGCCTTATACAGCCGCAAGCGATCAACCCATCTAGTTTCCTGCTTGCATTGTTACGATTAGACACTGCACTGAAATCCATTGGATGAGGGGAGGTCTAGATCAGGGGTCAGCAGACTTTTTCAGCAGGGGACCTGTCCCTCAGACCTTGTGGGGGGCTGGACTATATTTTTTTGGGGGGGGGGGATGAACAAATTCCTATGCCCCACTAATAACCCAGAGATGCATTTTAAATAAAAGCACACATTCTACTCATGTAAAAACATGCTGATTCCCAGACTGTCCGCAGGCTGGATTTAGAAGGCAATTGGGCCGGATCTAGCCCCCGGGCCTTAGTTTGCCTACCCATGGTCTAGATGTTAAACAAACAAACAAACAAGCTAGCTAGCTTAATACACTGAAAGCAATAAAAACCACTTACTATTAAGAGGAACACTGCCCTTTGTTGACCAAGGTTGCTCAAGGTAAAGGTGACGCCCTCCATCGTGACATGCCTGCCTGCTGTGTGACATACCAGAGAACTTTGGTAAGAGCAGATCTTTGAGCGAGTAAGGCGAGAGAGCAAGAGGTGGCGAGAATTAGAGGGGGGGGCTGTGAAAACAGCGGACTTGTAAGTTTGGCAAATATTGGGGCAGTGTTGGAAGCCGCCCAGAGTCACTGCTCGCTCCCTGCCCCACATACCAGCATGTAATGCATGCTACCCTATGAACAGATCTCAGAAAAAGGCATCCCCACTAAGGTCTGTTTCCACTGTCCAGTATCCAAAGTCGCAGTTCCAAATGTAAGAACAAGCCCATTGCTTGCTCCTGCCCACGCCTCCTGAAGTACAGCTGCATGAAAGATGTTAATTTATTATCAGTCCCATTTCCAAATCCTCAAAAAGGCTGGGAGTTAGTGAGTGTTAGACAGCAAGTTGAAGAGAGAGTGGGGAAGTTAGGGAGTCATTTTATTTGATTGAGTATCATATCATTTGTTAGGGAATTGTAACATTAGTTAGGGATGCGAAGCTGTGCTGAAAATCATGACATCTTTTAATATGTAAGGAGGACTTCTTAGTAGTCCTTGTATTCTGATTCTATGAACCCTAGGAGACAATCCCTCCCCAGTCATGGTTGGATTGTTTCAAAATGATTATCATCAGGGCCAGTTTAAATGCTTCAGGTGAAATGCTTGCCACCTCTTTTGTTGGTATAATTATTACAACAAGGCCATCTCCAAGATTTGGAGGGTGTTTTGACAATATGTGCTCTGAGTCCACCTTTCCATGAGATGCACATGGTAGCAAATTAATGTCAAGTCTGGTAGTGTTGGACGTCCCAAGTTAACAGCAGCATGAAGGCACTACAACCCTGGTTTCTCTCCTATTCCCCATTCTGTCCTTGGTTGAAAAGGTTATACAACCTCTTCAAGAAGTGCCAAGTTCATCCTCTGGTATGTGAGAAGAACCAGAAACCAGAGTCATTTTTGCGAGGCCTGATGTACACGACCGGTTCTAATAATTTAGGTGAGGAAACATCCTATGTGGAGGCAAGGGAATGATTGTGAGGCCACTGAGAATCTGACTAATTGGGTAAGTAGGAGGCACATCCCTGATTTGAGAAGGCCTTGGAGACATCCCTGTTGAAGAAGAGAGATGATAATTATTTCGCTTTACTACTGACCTTTCCCAACAGGGTCGCTCGGTTCATCTATTATTTTGCTAGTGAAGGAACCAAAGAAAAAACTACCAATTAAAAGTTTTCCAGAACCTTGAAACCTGGAGGAAAGGTACCACCTCCAACTTTCCCACTGCTTTTAAAGTGAAAGCCTTGTAGTGTCAATGTAGTTCAGCAGTTAGATTAGAAGGTACCACTGTGCCACCCACAGACACACATGTGCCCACGGGGTCCCACCCCACTGAAATTAGGCTTGAAACAAGCATTCTCTTGTAGCCAGCAGATGGCTATGGGAAGCATACAGACAGGACCTGACAGAGTCACAGCACTCTCCCCATCTATGGTTTCCAGCAACTGGTACAGTGGTACCCCGCAAGACGAACGCCTCGCAAGACGGAAAACCCGCTAGACGAAAGGGTTTTCCGTTTTGGAGGCGCTTCGCAAAACGAATTTCCCTATGGGCTTGCTTCGCAAGACGACAGCCCATAGGGAAATCTCAGGGACAGCGGGGAAGCGCAGCGCGTCTTCCCCACTGTCCTCGGACCTCCTCCGAAGCCTGGCGGCGGGGCAGGGACACCTCCTCCCGCCGCCGCCGGGCTCGGAAGGCTCCTCCGAAGCCGGGCGGGGGAGGGAACACCTGCCGCCGCCGCCCGGCTTCGGAACGGTGCTCCGAGCCGGGCGGGGGAGGGAACACCTGCCGCCGCCGCCCGGCTTCGGAACGGTGCTCCGAGCCGGGCGGGGGAGGGAAGACCTCCGCCTCTGCCCGGCTTCGGAACGGTGCTCCGAGCCGGGCGGTGGGGAGGGAAGACCTCCCCGCCGCCCGGCTTTGGAACGGTGCTCCGAGCCGGGCGGGGGAGGGAACACCTCCCGCCGCCGCCCGGCTCGGAACGGTGCTCCGAGCCGGGCGGGGGAGGGAAGACCTCCGCCGCCGCCCGGCTTCGGAACGGTGCTCCGAAGCCGGGCGGGGGAGGGAAGACCTTCTGAAGGCGGGCGGGGGCGAAAGTCTTTGCTCCCCTGCCTGCCTGTCCCGGAGGGCTTTTGAAGGCGGGGGAGCAAAGACTTTCGCCCCCGCCCGCCTTCAGAAGAGGTCCAGGACCTCTTCTGAAGGCTGGCGGGGGCAAAGTCTTTGTCCCCCTGCCTGCCTTCCCAGGGGCTTTTAATTGCCCCGGACAGCGGAGAAGTCCTCCGCTGTCCCGGGGTGATTTTAAATGCCGCCCGCCAGCATTTTAAGATCGCCCGGACAGCGGAGAAGTCCTCCGCTGTCCCGGGGTTTTTTAAAATGCTGGGGGTGGGAAGAAAAGCCCTTGCCCCCCCCCCAGCCTTCAGAAGAGGTCCGGGGACAGACTGTCCCTGGACCTGGTCTGAAGGCGGTTTCCCTAGGAACGCATTAATTGATTTTCAATGCATTCCTATGGGAAACCGTGCATCGCAAGACGAAAAACTCGCAAGACGAAGAGACTTGCGGAACGAATTAATTTCGTCTTGCGAGGCACCACTGTATTCAGAAGTATACTGCCACCAGCGGTGGAGGCAGAACATAGCATCAGGGGTAGTAGCCATTGATAGCTTTATTCATTGAAGTAAATAAACAAGAATTAATGGTGAAAGGAGAAGTGAGTCTAGAATATCCCGCCCCCCTCACACACTGTCATGAACTGGCAGGACACCAAGGAAGGGGAAGAGGATCCTGGCAAGGGGTGTAGCCACGATTGGGACACACCAGGACAAGCTGAAGATGGAGAACGGGAGGTTGGGGATTTAGAAGGTACTCAAGGGACACCAGTGGATGTTGAAGGGGCACCTGACAGTTCGCAGAAACCTGGGAAGGCGGACACATCACCAGAACAGAGGTGACCCTGTCTCCACAAACAGCATGGGCTCTGAGGCATCAGGAATAATGGGAAGAGCCTGAGGCAGGCAAGAGACCACAGCCCAGCTTACTAGTTGCTCAGGTGAAGATCCTGGGACTCATCCTGTAGGAGGTTTGTGGCCACCAACTTGATTAAGCGCTGGTGAAGATCACATGCTTTGTTAAGTGGAGAGGAGACACAGCTACACAGCTGGAACAAGCTCAGGTGCATCAATAATACTGGGAAGAATAAAAGAGAAGTAAGGGAGACACACTGTTTCTGATCAACTTTCACTGTAGGTGGACCACGGCTTGGCTGCTTCAGGAACTCCAATGGACTGCAATTTCTAATCTGAATTTAGGATTCCAGCCCTGGATCATCTTCTGAGGTGGGAACTTGGCCTTATGGTTTGACTTTGAACCTTTCTCATTGAATTGGACCTGTACCTGTATTTGTCCATTGGGCTGTCTGATTGCTCTCTTAACATTGCCTTTGGGACAGTGTGCCCTATCGGGACTTAACTCAGAGTATTTCCTTGCCTTCTGCCTTCATATCAGAACAACAACAACAACAACAACAACAACAACAACAACAACAACAAAAATCCATTTACTGAGAAGTTTCTCCATTTACTGAAAGCCTTACTGGCTACTGCTTAGTCTCAGTACTGGAAGAGAGAGGAAAAACTTCTGCAGACCCAGAAGAAACACCCCACCCCAACCCCCACAGAATGAAAATGTACCTGATAGGTCAAGATGATTGAAATGGAAGGCACAATGCACCTGATTGGTAGGCAGCTCTTCAGAACCGCAGCACAAAGTTACTTAATGGGCCCCGAGGGACTCCTCTCATTGGCTAGTGCTACTGATCAGGGAACTGAAGGGCAGAAAAGGATAAATGGAAAAGCGGGGAGTCCTCTAACCCTGCTTAACCCTTTCCTATCTATAAGTGAGAGTAGTTTCTTCTTCTTCTTCTTCTTCTTCTTCTTCTTGGAACTGCTGTCCCTAGTAATGTTTTGTGATTGGCAGTGCTGTTCAGCCAACACCCTTTAAACCTCTGGCAGCCCTTGAAAAACCCTTAAAAAACCCCAGCAGCACTTACCAGACTGGCATGAATGGTAGCAATGGTGATTCTCAATCTTCCTCATCACTGGAGGACACTGTACAAACAACAACGGGGGGGGGGGGGTAAGACCAGTACCCCAAAGTGCCTGGCTGTGCTTCAGACGGGTACCCCAAAGTGCTTTCTCAAGTGCCAACTCTCCATAGGTATCTAAGGTCAACGCAAAGACTCATGGGGTTGCTAGCTGTCTTCCTGCTCTTTTTGCACCATTTTTGCAGCTTTCCTGCTCTTTGGGGGCCATTCTTGCCCTTTTTGCAGTTTAAATTGATTTATTTAACTATTTCACGGCGCGGTGTGTAAGTGGGGAGATGCCTGTATGTGAGAGGGTAGGTGGTTGAAGGATGATTTTTGGCTGAGGGCTGGCAGTGCCCTATTTCCCCCTAGGGATCAGCCTCCACTGTTTGACATAATATGGGTGCTTTTTCCAACGCAACTTGGAGATGCTGAGCAGAGAGTGGTTGGGAGCTGGGTGAGGTATTCAGAATCTGTGTAGAGAGAGGCTGGAGTTAAGACTTCCTTGTTCCTTTCCAGTGATCTGTCCATGGTTCTGCAAGCCTTGTGGCTGGCTGGCCTTCATTAGATACCCTACCAGGATCCCTTTTCTAGGAGTTAATGTGTTTGAATCCTCTGTGACCCTTCCTCCACCCCCCAGGCCAAGCTCACTACCTTTTCATTGATCCCACTTCTCTCCAGGACCCCAGACTGTTAACTGGACCCCCTAACTCACTGACCATGTTTGAGCTTTGCCTCCTCCACCCAGCGGTACACAATGTGTATCTCTCTGTGTGTTTTGTGTAATGTATTTTGCTTTTACTACTCAATTGGAAGAACACAGAGATGTAAAGGGCACTCAAGTTCACATTGGGCTGTTGAAATTTTTACTTAGTACCCCTTACCTACATACAGTGGTACCTCGGTTTTCGAACGTAATCCATTCTGGAAGACCGTTCAAGTTCTGAAACGCTTGAAAACCGAAAACTCAATAGCCGACAGCTAGGCCTCAGAATCTTGCACTCAGTGGAAGCCACGTGGCATGTTTGATTTCCGAGGCAAACTGAAGCATTTACTTTCAGGTTTATGGCGTTCGAAAACCGAAATGTTCATCAACAGAGACGTTCGAAAACCCAGATACCACTGTATTTATTTTGCTTTGAAAAATAATCAGATATGCCACCCCACTCCATATGCGATTGGGATATGGCCGTCTTTAAACGAAAGCGTCTATCACTGTAATGTTTAGTTAGGCTCTGGCTCAATGGAATCATACCTAAAATAAAATAAACTATGCATTGCCTACATACTTTCATTCCTGCGTTTGCAGACTTTAAGGACTAGAATATTGTTTGTTTTTTAAAGAGAACACTGCATGTTTCCCTTAAGGGCACTGCCACACTTATTTGATGTGGTCATGTAATTGCAGCATATATAAATCCTTGGTCGTACCTAATTTGCTGTCAAGATGCAGATGGAGAAGAACTGGCATCACGTGAGCAATGCATCATAAGGCTATAGATTAGGAGGCAGCATTCCATTTCACAGTGCCACCTTTACTTTTGTCAGACAACTGTGGACTTCTAGACCACAGATTCAAGTTCTGATGAGAGAATACAAAAGGAAAATACACAAGGAGAATAAAAACCTCAGGCCTGATTCAAAGGTCCAATTCCAGCCACCCTGACACCAGATCAAATAGGAAAGACCTTGCAATGCTTCTCCAGTGGGCGTCGGCTTAGTTGCGTCTCCAGAGGAAAGATGATTCATATCCAGAGCACTTGCTTTCAGGGTGAATTATCCCATAGCACATATATAGGGCCAGCGCTACCATTGGGCAAAATGAGGCAGCTGCCCTCCCCTGTGCCTCCTAAGCTGGCCTACCGCCCTGAGCTGTAGTAAAACATACTGTCCCATCACCAGCCTGGTGCAGGAAGATTCCGCTACCAGTCTGGTTGACTTTTGTACATGGAATGGGAGAGAACCATCTTGTTCTTTGCCTCAGGCTGCAAAATGTCTTTGGCCAACCCTGAAAGTTAAAGAGGAGCTCTCCACCAGGTGTGAACTCCATCAGCCACGGTAAGCATGGCCAATGGCTACGGATGAGGGGAGCTGTACTTCAGCAACACCTATAGGGCCTCGGGTCCCCCATACCTGGTCTAAGAAGTAATGCCACAACGCAGGTAACCCACTGGCAGGGCTTGGGGAGAAAAGATGTATATTTCAAAACCGTAGCCCTCCAACATCAATATTTCAAGCACTTGCGCTCCACAGCAGTGAATAAATATTTGAAACGAAAAAACCTGCAGCCAACGATTTAGCTGATTTGTTCCAATCCGTACGAAATGTGGGCTCCCTACTTCTTTGGCTTCCCTGCTTGTTCGGCTCCCTGGCCCAGAAGTCTTGGTCTCCAGAGCTCCCTCTCCTCTCCTCTCAATTTCTCTTAGCGTACAGCCCTTCCTCTCTCTATAAGTGAAGTTTCTTTCTCCTTGTAACGTCCTTTCCCAACACTACATAAGAGGAGCCCTGCTGGGTCAGAACCAGAGGCTGATCTAGGCTGCTTCCAGACAAGTGTTGACTGTAGGATTGGTGCTCCTCATGCATGCAAGTTTTTTGCCGCATCTGCACAAGATCATTGCCTCCTTGATCATTGAAAAAAATATCCATGCCCTTATTTAATTCTGCTGTCTGTCTATCATCTATTGCATTTATAGCCCATCTTTTTCTTCAAGGATATCAAGGTGGTGTACATGATTCTCCCTCCCTCTCATTTAATCCCCACAACGACCCTCTGATGTAGGGTAGGCTGAGATGATGATGATGATGATGGTGATAATTTATTACTTATACCCTGCCCATCTGGCTGGGCCTCTCCAGCCACTCTGGGTGGCTCCCAACAGAATATTAAAAACACAATAAAACATCAGACATTAAAAACTTCCCTAGAGGCAGTGACAGTCACCCAATGAGTTTCATGGCTGGGTGGGAATTGAACCCTAGTCCCCCAGATCCTAGCCTAATTGCATCACACCTAGTTCACAATGGCACACTATATTGCATATCCTATATTGTAATATCTCAGCAACCTGTTTGCAGATTAAGTCCCTGTATCACATCTAGTCCAGCAAAAGGTTTCCAACTGTGGCCATGTATATGCTCCAGGAAGTCAGGAAACATGACCTGAAGGCAGAGTTTGCACTGCACACCCAGCAGCTGGTATTCAGAGGCGCACAGCCTCTGACTGTGAAGATTCCCCTTAGCTTTCTTCTCTTCTGACATGAAAATAAAATTTAAAGAAAGCCTAGCACAAAAGCCCCTATACCCAACTGCCTTCAGTTTGTCAGGTTTCTTACCCAGTGGCCCTTCTCTCATGTCTGCAATTTTCAGATCAGCAGCTATTATGAGATTTGGCAGGATTCAGGCCTTCAGAAGGTGCGACCTCTCCTACAAATTTAATCCAGTTCTACCCGAAAATATCAGACTTTAGAGGTGCTCAATACAAAAGCTGCAGGATCTATTTCTCTGTACTAGGGCAAACTTCACCCACTTTGGAGGGGCTAGTGTGTTTGCAAATTTCATCCATTTCTGCCAAAAGAGGGGGAAAGTCAAAAGTGCCCCCCCATTTTCCAGAAATGAATTGGGGCAGGGAAAAGGTAAAGCAGCTTTGAATGGACCCCTGAGTTAAATTTGGCAGTCTACAAAGTGATTTGGATCTGGGGGGCTATTTTCCAAAGCACCCAATGGAGGTCTGAATTGAATCTTCTGGTCAGTGCGGACCCTTAATTCCTATTTGCCAACATGAGATTTCCGGGTGCTTGAGATCCCTACCCTCACCAAGTCATTCCCTTCCATCTCTGCATTATTATTCTATCCACTTTTCTCCAGAAGGGAAGGCGGAGCTCCTGTTCCTTTTCTTCCTTGTTCTGTCCTTTTTCTACCAACAAGCTCATCCCAGCAGTCATCCTACGCATGCAGCAAGAAAATCCAGCTGCTTTGAACAAGATTCACTTTCTTCCTGGAGTTTTAAGAGGATTTTCTCATTAGAACGTGCAGCTTTGCTGATTATGGAGAGGCGGCTGAAGACTTAAATCCTTGGCTGACCATCCAGACCCCAGGTCTGTCCGTCTGGGACCGAAGCATGTTACGAATTCTCTACGAGTGGATTTAGGTGCTCCTAGTTTGACCTTTTTTTTACCATGTGGCTTAACACACACCCCTGCTATTGAAATCCACCCTTTCTACTCAAGGCTTGCACAATGATGCGTTTCCCTTTTCTTGCAAACTCCCAAGCCGCAAACAGGAAAAAAAACTGTTAAGGTGCTGAGAACCTCTCATCTATCCGTTTGCTGTTGTCACGTTGTACAAGATAGCGGTTAAGAAAAAGGAGCTCAAATTAATTTAACAGGCAAATTGAATTTCAACTCATGAACACAGTAGCTGCTGAGATGTGAATATCCCACAAGGCTGAAGCATTTCAATTCTAACCATCAACGCTCCACCATCTCCCCATCATGACATTTTGTCACATCTTCAGCACAATGGTTGAGCTCCCTTTTCAAGTCCAGTGGGGTTTTATTTGGGGGATGTGTCTTTGGACAGTGCACCACTTTCTTTAACCTGGAAGAGTTGGAGTGCACAGACTCAGAATCTGCTGACACTGCATTTGACCATCCTGGGTGCTCGGTGCAAAAGCAAGGACGATGGTGCTTTTGGGATGGTGGCCCCTTCCCTCCATTTTAGGGTCCTGGCATGTAGCCACCTTCGCCTACTTCTGGAATGGGTCTTGTTGAACCTAGCCAAATTTGGGAGCTGATGTAGTGTGGTGGGAACTCCCACACAAACAATCATTGGCTGGCTCTGATCTAGGTCCATATCAGTGGTACCATCTTCTTCAGATGGTAGTTTGCTTCAAAATGTGGTAAGCCAGCCCTGATGCATTTGGTGGGGGCTCCTCACTGCACAGAGTGGGCCCTGGACATCTGCCCCAAAGTATTGCCCTGACAGTAGCATAAACGGTCTATCTAGTCCACCTTCATTTTTCCAACAGTGGCTACCCAGCTCAAAATAGGACATGAGGACAACAGACCTCCTCTGTTCCCACCATCTGACACTCAGAGGTATACTGCCTCTCTTCATGAAGGTTCTATTTAACTGCGGATAGATTCATCCGTCATGAAATTTGTTATTTTAAAAAGTTATCTATGGCATCTCTAGGGGATTTTAATATACTTCTGTAGCAAACCTTGATCTGCATGGCACCGTCTTCTATATTTGCTGTCATTATGTTGTCCCTTTTTGCAGTATCTAGGAGTGCAGAATCTGCAGGTTCTCTCTCCTTCCGCCTTGCCTTCTACCTTAGTGGCCATTCCAAGGAAGCATTTCTTTCTTCAGAACAATGTTCTTTTTTTCTTTTTCTGGGGCAGAAAGAGATTGAGTTAAAATAGCCATTGCCTCCGCCATTTAATTAATTTAATCTGTGGGCTTGCAAGGGAAGAGATCCTGATAAGATTACGAGTGAAGGAAAGAAAGAATGTGATCAGTATTTCTCCCATAAATGCCATCTTAACAATGAGCTCTCTGCAGCAGCAAGATATCAGAGAGCACATTTTGGGTCACCCTGTAAATAAATAATCTTTTTACGGTCCAGCAGTCATTCCTTTATTATTATTATTATTATTAGAATCAAAAAGTATGTTATAAAAGATACTAAGATGTGAAAATTAAGTCTCTGAAAGCTAGCTGAGAAAGCAGTAATATATGCAGACTATCATTTTTGCTTGTTGCCATAGTAAAGGCTAGTTATCAGGGTTAACTCCACACCACAAACTTTTTAATGACTAAAAATGTTGATGCAGATGTGATCCATGGGATCTTTGGTGTAATACTTGGCCTTTATCTAGCGCTTTATGACTTTTCAAAGTACTTCACATACATTGGCTTGTATCCAACGCTAGTCCTACTTAGAGCACACCTGCTGAAATAAATAAACCTAAGTTAGTCGTGTCCATTAACTTTAGTAGATCTACTTTGAGTAAGACTAGCACTGGATAAAATCCATTGCCTTAGCAACAATTGCAGGTAGGTCAGTGTTATTGTCCCCAAGTTGCAGATGGAGGGAAGGGAAACTATGGTTTGCCACAGAGTAAGTTCACAGCAAAGGCAACATTTGAACTGGAGATGTCAAGGTTCTCACAGCCCAGTTACTATGTTACATAGGCTCCTTTGCATATGATTGGGTTACCAATCTCACGCAGCTCACAGCACACCCAGCACCCTTCTCTGTAGCCCTTTCAGTAGCTTTGCAGTGGTATCTGTTGGAGTTATAACTTGGGTGGAAATAGTTCTGATTCCTCAGCACTCAGTGGGGATCCTTTGTTCTGACTTAGGCTGCTTCCAGGAGAATTTTGTGGCTGAGATTCAATCGCATATTGGAAAATTCAGGTTGCACAATGCGGAACTGTCGCTCTTGCACAACCAGCTTGCTTCCACACCCCAAAAAAGCGTTGGGGGGGAACACTTCTTGTAATAAGAAAAGTGATAGGAAAATGTGCTAGAATAACAATGGCTTGTTGCAATGCTTTATAACCTCCCCACTAATAAATCAGAATGCTCAATAAGTAGTGGGCATCATATAACCTCCCCACAAACCTTGTGCAAGCAAATCATTATGATTGCTCAAAAGTAGGTAACTCTGGAAGATCTTAGTCTGATTCCACAGTAGCTGATTCCCCGCTGCCCCAAGAATGGAATACCGGTAATTTGTTCATATAGTTTTTGGAGAGAATTCACACAACAACATCATAGCCAGCCAACTGGATCCCAATTTCCTCCGTGTTATCTTCCTGTCTTCTTTTGTAACTGATCCGCAGTAATTTTCAAAACGTAAAACGCAGTTGTATTGCTGACATGTCTAGTGTGGACTGGCAACATGCCACTAAAAATTCCCTGGGCTACTGCTCCTATAAGTAATAATTTCCTCCTTGTTTCTTTTCTTTCAAAATGGCTTTTGCTTCTTAGGTTTCTACCCCTTTAAGTAGGTTCTTCCTGTTCACCAGCATTCCAGAACCGGTCCTTAATTAGTCAGTTCCTGTTCATTGTTTGTGTTTTGGAGCAGGGTGGTAATGGTTGGTAATTATCAATTTCCTCTTCACAGCCAGAGAAATTGCTCATTATTTTATTAAGACTGCATTACTTCACACGACGCAGTCCTAAGAGAAGTGAAGCTCACTCAAATGAAAGACATGAACCAAGCACATTTCTAATCCCCTGAACAGAATACAGGCAAAAAAAACACACAACAAAAAACAAAAAAAACCACCCAGCAGATTTATGCATTTGCACCAGAAAATTAGCTTGTGTGTGTGTATTTTTATACTGCATTCTCGCTTTCCCTCTCTCACCTTTTGATGTTCTTCCATTAGAGCACTCGACTAGTTACACACAAAAAATGTCCGTCCCCCCTTCTATTTCTTGGCAACACAAAATTGCTAGCAATTCTGCCCAGCATGACATCTTAAAATAAAAGCAAGCATCACTCTGCTTCTATCTTCTCTATCTCTTCTCCCTCTGATCCTCGCACACATCTCTGTGTGTCTTCAGAAGCCCCTCTTTTTGCCCCCCCCTTCATTTTTCCTCCTTGACCATACAAAGTCCACCTATGCAGGTAGATGGGAGGAAAACGGGAAAAGATGCCTGTTCCCACTCTTCTCCTCTGCTGTGTCCTCCTCTCTAGCCATGCACACGCATTGACAGAGACACTGTTCTTGCCAATGGAGCAACAGAAGTGAGTGCTTTAGGGCAGGGGGGAGAGAAATTGGACAACCCATCAAGAGCAGAATGAGGCAATTTCCTTCTCTATTTGATATGGGAATTCAGGTATAGATCTCTGCACAATAACAAAATTGTTCATCTACCTCCCTGACCTGCAATTTTTTTTCACAGGCTCCCTCACCAAACATCTTTTCAGTTTTTATTAATGTACAGGTTGCTTATTTGTGCACATTCCAAACAGACAGAGCAAAATGCAAATCATAAACGTATGCTTAAATCAGATGCAGGAGTCCCTTTTTTCTGTTAAGGGGGCGATTTTATCAGGGGCTGCATGCCAATGACAAGTGGGGCTGGACTTACCCGCTTTTCCAGGGGCATCTGCTGGGGTGGTGTGTTGCCACGGAGGTGGTATCCCGGCAACAGCATCACCACTGTGGATGTCAATGGTGTAGGAGCAGGGCAGGGTGGTGACAAGGTCAGGGTGATGTGGGTACATTGGCAGAGTTAATGCTGCACTCCGACCAGTACACATGTACCATCCCTCCCTTGTCCTTGCCTTGGTTGTATTGCTGTCAATGGCAGTGATGCTGGTGCCAGGAGACCAAGTCTGTGGTACCACCTCTCCCTGCTCTTTTCTTTTTTCTGCCACTCCCTTTTATCTCTTCCTCTCCTCCTTTCCAACCCAGAGGCCTGCAGGGGCAAAGGATAGATCCTTCATGCCAGAGGTTTGAGCTGATCATTTGCAGAGAGCTTTTGAAGTCGGGCTCTCTTAGGTTCAACTCAGACAATACGCCAAGCCACAGTTTAGAAACCAAGCCAAGGTGATCTTCCAAATATACAGGCAAAACCAAGGTTTAGAACAGGGCTCAAGAACCTGAGACCCAAAGCCCACTTGCAACCCTCAGTCTAACTTCATGGGGGTGGCAAGAAGAGAAAGGGGGCACAGAGGAAAACAAAAAAGGAAGCGGCAGAGAATGAAAAGGGGTGTGTGTGTGTGTGTGTGTGTGTGTGAGAGAGAGAGAGAGAGAGAGAGAGAGAGAGAGAGAGAGGAGGGATGCCCCACCCACTTCTGGTTTTAGCTCATCCACCTTTGGCTGAGATCACCATTATGATTTACGAATAAAAATATATTGCAGGCTTAAAAAAACACTTATTTTCAAGTATAAAAATAGAGAAATACAGTATCCACAACAAAGGAAAGAACACAAATATAACCCCAAGTATGAGGTCAAGAGGTTATTGAGATGCAGTCAAGTAGAAGAAAAGAGAAAGTCCATCCACAATGGGAAGAAAGAAAAATCTTGCAACATGCATATATTCTGCCTGTTGCTAATGTATAAGACTGTTCATACAATGTACTGGGATACAAAAATAAAGTCCTACCAAATAGTGTGGTTATGGGGTATGTTAGGGCATCCCCCCCCCCCAGTACAGCTGTAGATCATGCCTAGCCATGGTTTGCTCAAACATGGTTTGCAAGCCCACTTTTGGTTCTGGTTTCCTGCTAACAAACCACAGCTTATCATTCCACACATCACACAAAATCATAGTTAAGCTTTCTTAATCACATGTTGGTGCAGTGCCTGAACTGGGCCTTATTACCTACAGGTTGTTGCCAGCTCCATCACTACAGAAAGGGAATCAGAGCTCCCCCCGCTGTGTTGTTTTTGGGTCAGCAGGTGTAACACAGCTTTCATTCCGGCTGCTACCACCAAAATGGATGACAGCCTGACTACTAGTGGTCTAAAGTTGAAAAACAAGATAAAACACAGCAAATCCCCTAGAAGGGAAGGAGAGGATCATATTATTTATTTATTAAATTTGTATACTGCCCTGTACCCACAGGTCTCAGGGCGGTTGCAGCCTAGAATCACAATATAAAAACATGATTCAGAGCCTGCTGTTTCACCATACACCTGATCCCTGCCTGGGCGTCTAGTGAGTAAAGGCAACAGCCAGGAGGCTCTGGGTGGGCGGCTTTAGACACCCTGTCCTGAAATCTCTTATCTGTCCATTCCTGACTGGGCTTGAAGGGGGAAGAGGGCTTGAAAGCACTAGGCTGTTTCCCCACTAACGTGCATTGAACTTACTGTGAAATACCCACCTTCTCCAGAAATGACCACAAATAGCCCTTCCTTCTGATTCCATCCTTGTGGGCAGGGCCTTTGCTACTGGACCTGTTCCTCCTTGATTCAGGAAGTGGGGAAGAGAATTCTAAGCCTTTCTTTGCATCCTTGTGGGATGGTAGGGGGCTTGTTTGGGGCTTTTGAGTTTGCCCTTTTGCTCCTTTCCAGAGATATTTCTTCTCTCTCTCTCTCTCTCTCTCTCTCTCTCTCTCTCTCACACACACACACACACACACACACACACACACACACATCTATACAGGCAAGCAGGAGGTGTTACAGTTCAAGGTGGCTGTGAGGGGGACGGCTTTTTCAATGATAGCACCCCAGCTGAGGAATGCTCAGCCCAGAAATGTCCATTTTGTTATCTTAGGACCTGCTTATCACTTCAGCCATCCATCTTAGACTTAATTTTAACCCCACTGTTGTGTTTTTAAAGGCATTGCTGCCTTTTCAAAGTCTTCGTATTTTGAGATCGTTCTGGTTTATTTTATTTGCACTTTAGCTTGTTTTTGTATCATGTTACGAATAATTTAGTTTGAAGCCAGAGAGGTATAAAGATTTCTACAAAGATAAATAAATAGCTTCCAAGTATGAATGCATGCAGCAAAACACACACAAGCAGAGGGTTGTTGAGGGGGGGAGTATCTGCAATAATCAATCTATATGGCAATCTGTATGTGAGCTCCATAGTATTCCTACACAGTATTCCTTACACAAGTTGAAATGTTGCAGGGTTGAAGAAGCCCTAAGGGGGCTGGGGTGGGAATTTAAATTTCACAGTACAGTAAGTCAATGTAAATCGGCCTCTTTTTTCGTCCGTTCCTTTTGACTGCAGGTCTCTTGTATACTTGTATTCGTGTCTTGTTGAACACAACGGCTCTTGTTCTCAAGTGGAGAGCAAAACCACTTCTCTTTATTTTCTGCACATTTCTTTATTCCCATTTAGGGCAGGCTGGTTCGGGGTATATATGCATGCCTGGCACGGAGGTGACCTTTTATCCAGGGCTGTGCAGCTGTGAGCAGCTGCTCTTTTAGGCTGGAGGTGAACAGAAGATTCCCCCAGCTGCAGCTGCAAAATTGGGGGTGGGAAGGGGGGGTGACGGAACCCAGAGCATTGAAGAGACCTTCATTGGGGTTCAGAGAAGGGACAACTTTTGGAAGGAGGATTGTGGTGGAGGACAGGTGCTAGCAATAGGCCGTGTGGCTCATCCAAGGTTGTAACCACACAGTAGCTATTTGTGAAGAGAGTGGCTCCTTAAGTATTCCAAGTCTTTTCCTCAAATTGCATGTATTTCTTGCTTTTTTGAAGTCTCTTGCAGCAGAATCTTACACGTCTTAGCAATAGGTGAGTTCATAGGATTGGACCCTAAACCTATTAAGGCTGCAGTCCGTGCAGTGATTTACCTGAGAATAGGACCCATTGAATTCAGCACAATTTACCTCTGAGTTGACCTGTATAGGCTTGCTGTATAACTTACAAAGACATAAGACAAAGCTATTTTCAGTAGTGGGGTGACAAATTGCTATAATTTTAGATAGAAATAACAATGCATCTCACCATTGTTGCAGTAACACCATAGAGAGGAAGGCTTGGGACCAGGAGACCTGCATGGCCTTCTCAGTTTGCTGTTGAGGTGGTAATGTTGATGGGCAGTTTCAAGGTTCCTGCTGCTGTCCAGTTTAGAGTCCTTTCTCTTTAAACTGGGCTTAGACTGAACATGGAACATGGGTGGTGCTGTGGCCTAAACCACTGAGCCTCTTGGGCTGCTGATCAGAAAGTTGGCAGTTCGGATCCCCGCAACAGAGTAAGCTCCCGTTTTTCTGTCCTAGCTCCTGCTAACCTAGCAGTTTGAAAGCACGCCAGTGCAAGTAGATAAATAGGTACCGCTGCGGCAGGAAGGTAAACAGTGTTTCCATGTGCTCTGGTTTCCGTCATGGTGTCCTGTTGCACCAGAAGCGGTTTTGTCATGCTGGCCACATGACCTGGAAAGCTGTCTGTGGACAAATGCCGGCTCCCTCGGCCTGAAAGCGAGATGAGTGCTGCAGCCCCATAGTGGCCTTTGACTGGACTTAACCATCCAGGGTTCCTTTACCTTTCCTCTAACACATTTTCTAATAAGGAATTGTCTTCCTCTATAATGCAGGATACGTGACTATCCAAAGGATTGGGGTAGTATTATTGCAGGCACCTTCATTTTAATTTCCTCCCATGCCTAATTTGAACCCTCCAGGGCATGTGGGTTCACCATTGTCAGTGAGCGTCACTGCAGAAGGCCAGAGAGTGGCGGTGTCATCATCTACTGGCATAGGAGGGGGCCCATAGGAAGGCTTCTAAATAAATAATATGGTTCATGTGTTTAGAGAGACTCTGGCTGTAATGAAAGCGAAAAAGCCTGCAGCAAGGCAATGGTGGGGAGAGGATTATGCCTGAGAATTTCTGCCCACATTTTAAAGCAAACTGACCAGATTTGCATTTCCTGGACTAATATGTGAATTGGAATGCAGGTGTTATTTTTCACAGCTTCTCCAAATTTTGTAATTTTAGTTTATAGCTGAGGGGGGGAAAAAACTCCAAAGTGCAAATAAGGTTAATGTGCATACAAAAAAAGGGTGGGGTTGTGGTAACATGCATGTACAAATGCATATTTTGTGAAATTATGCTAAAAATAATGCAAATTTTATTGGTTTTCTTTGATAAAACTGGGATGTGATGAACTTAAGAATGATCATATTTGAGACTAATGTGGATGGGAAGCAGACAAAAGGCAGGGGTCAACAATTTGGTAAGTGTGCAGGGATCACACTAGACAGCCAGAACTTGTGCAAGCAGCACTGGATTTTTCTTTTTCTTTTACAAGGACAACCATATGCATCTTATGCTGCTCATCTGGCCTTTAGATCTGAACCTTTGTTTTAAATGCTGGGCTGGTGTTTTAATATATTCTGTGCGAAGAGCCCTCATGTAAACAGATCCACAATTGGAAGGTTTAAATAAAAATAAAACAAGGAAATTCACAGCCCTCTTCTGACTAAACTGTAATTGTGCTGGAGAGTTGGAGAACTCTGACCTGTGTTATTGCCCTTATGGCTGGTGTGTGTGTGTGTGTGTGTGTGTGTGTGTGTGTGAGATTGTGTGTGTGTGTATCTATCTGTGGTGTGTCCATATTTAGAATGCTGCATGCTGTTCTTGTCTTTCTAAAAAAATACTGCAGAACTAGAGAAGGGACAGAAGAAAGGCTTCTAAAGTCATCGGGGAGAATGGAGAAAGAAAAGCCTTTTAAAAACTGGTGCTTTTTCAGTTAGGGGGAAAAGAAGGAAGGTTTGTGATCGAAGCATGTTGCTAGGAGAGAGTGGATAGGGAGGAATTATTTTTTCTCTCTTTTTAGCACGTGAGAAATAACATTTGGGGTTATCCAATGAAACACTACTAGGAGGTAAACGGAAGGCAGTGCACCTTATTGACTTGTGGGACTCATTGCTACAAGATGTAGTGATGACTACTAGCAAAGCAATTCTTACCTTCAGTGTTCACCATCCTCCACCACTTATAACAGAGCTTACTGAACTGAAACCAGTTCCTGCAGGATAGGGGGATTCTGGGCACTGGGGTGGGTGGTGGGTGCGGCCCCCAGGTGTCATCTCTAAGGGGGGTGACATCACCGCTCTGCCCCCTGGGACTCTCGTCATAGGTGATGCCCCACCGGGACGGTAGCCCCACCCCTGTGGGTAGCTAGCCCCGCTCCTGGGTGCCGGGACAACTAGCCCCGCCTCTGATTCTGGGGATAATCAAGCACCTCTGGCAACCACAGATGCCTTTTAAAACCCATATACTGCCCTGTATCCACAAGTCCTCAGCTTTCAGTTCTTACTAAGTGGCCTTGGGCAAGGCTTTACTGTATTTCAGACTCTTATCTAGTAAACAGAGTGAACTCCTGTGTGTGTGTGTGTGTGTGTGTGTGTGTGTGTGTGAATTCATCATTCAGTAACTGCAACAACAACAGATGCAAGAAGAAACCAAATAGCAAACATCCTAGCCCAGACAAAGCTCTCCTGTTGCCAAACTTGGCCTATCAATGAATAGATGCAGCTTGTAAGCTATATACCATGTTTGATGAACCTCAGATTTGTCTGTATGTCTGAGATAGCAGAAATATGAGGATTGCCAAGCACCCAGCAGGCCACAAACCTCAAGTGCAATAATGTTCTGTGAAAACTGTTCACATAGTCACCTGCTCACAAGGAGTATCTGCATGCCAGATGCTGAGCGATGCATTTGTGAATCAGCTGTTGCAATGAATGAACGATCAGGCAGCGCTGAGAATAGGGCTTGAATGGAAATGTGAAGAATTTTGGCAGCGTGTAGTGTAGAGCTTTATGCAACTGCTTGGCCACCCACCAGGCCTTCAACTCAACTGCCTTCACCTGTCTTGACAGTGGCAATGCATGCTTCCAAAGGCAGGCTGAGCTGTGCTTTGGTAAGTGGGTATCACAGATAAGTTTGCACCCAAACTCCACAGATCCACCCAGTGCACACTGCACCTCAGTTAGGTTGTGGGCTGCAGTTCATAAAGGAACCCAAGCATTCATTATTTTGAGTTTTTGCTGGGTACACTGGAGGATAGGGCTGGGTGGGCAAAAGTTGTTTGGGCAACATCAAAGTTCCAGCTCCCATGCCGCACCAGAGGACACTGCTGCCAGGCTACATCTCTGTGTCTAAATTTCTGAGACTTGTACTGCTTGGCAGGAGGCAGCTATGAAAGAGAATTGCTAATTCAGTGCAGTTGTTTGGGGGCGATTCCCCTGAGGCCTTCTTGCTTTACTACGCTGTGTGCATATCCTTTACCTTCCAGAGATGCTGAAAAACTAGGTCAGTGGAGGGAGAGAGAGAGAGAATAGAATTCACGGAGAAGGATATATGAATCGTGCAGGCAGCATGACACTCAAAACGCAGCACAGGTCTGGTACCTGCTAGCAGTTGGAAATCTAAAGGAGGTCATTTTAGTCCATGCTCATGCCAGCACTCATTTCTACTTAATAGATGCTCATGTGCTTTAGCATGTGCTTTGGGGCTGCAATGCTAAGACACAGTGACACTTTATTAAACAGAAATGAGCATTTACGTGAGCATAGCCTAAACTAACCTCTGTTGGATTTGCAGACATTGGCTGGTAACTGGCCTGGGCTGTGTCTGGACGAACACACTTCCACTTGTATCGTGCCTAATAAGCAGTTTTTGCTTGCCCCATGCTTTCTAGGCATGAGTCCGAGTGGTTTTGCCTTTGCTCCGCAACTTTCCCACTCTTTAGTGCTCAATTGGAACAAATGGTAATCTGCTGAAAACCCAGTTGTTGATTGTTCCAGTTCAGCTTTAAAGTAGCGGGGCAAATTTCTCTGTGACATAAAATGTTTGGCCCTTCTCTAGGGCATATTTCAGCAGTAGCAGATGGCACGGTAGGGTGCTGCGTCTCACCTGACACCTGAGTTGCTCTTACCTCTCAGGAAGGAAAGGGGGAGGTGGGAGGTGGTGGGGAAGCCACTGTGGTGCAAATGCGCCAGCAGGAGCCCCAGGGTGGATTTGCTGGTGCATTTGTACCATGCTAACTTCCCTGTCACCTCATCCCTCCTTCCTGGGAAGCACCAGAGACTTAGCAGTTGGGGGAATCAGGTGAGCGCTGCTGCTGCACCATGCTATCCATTGCTGTATTTCAGGAGTAACAGCTTTGCTTCCATAAAGTTCTCATGCTACATACAAAAATATGAATTCCTTGCCAGAAAGAGCATGTGTGTTTTGTGCAGGTCATGGAAGGCCATTCTAGGGTTCTTCATTTTTCTACACAGTGATGGAAAAGCTGTGGCTCTCCTAATGTTGGACTCCAACTCCCATCAGCCCCAGCCAGCATGGCCAGTGGTCAGGGATGATGGGAATTTTAGTTCAGCAACATCTGTAGGGCTACATGTTCTCCACCCCTGCTCGCTCTCTCTCCTTTTTGAATGGAACAGAAGCTCCCTGGAAAGGCACTGTGGGGAATGTAATCTTGTTGCTGTCCACATAAACAGAGTTCATGAGGAGGTGTATCACGTGGCCCTAAGATACTCCAGTCAGTCCTTCAGGGGGCATGAGGAAAATTTGAAAAGGAATTAAATCTGCTGATATAGAGAGCAATTCCCCAAAGTTGATTATTGTATCTCACCCCTTGACTTGCAACACTTCAGTCTGATTTTAGTGAATGAAAGTGGTTCATTGAAGTGAAGATAAAATGAGATAAGGAAGAAGAAGAAGGATTTGGATTTGATATCCTGCTTTATCGCTACCCGAAGGAGTCTCAAAGCAGCTAACATTCTCCTTTCCTTTCCTCTCCCACAACAAACACTCTGTTAGGTGAGTGAGGCTGAGAGACTTCAAAGAAGTGTGACTGGCCCAAGGTCACCCAGCAGCTGCATGTGGAGGAGCGGGGACACGAACCCGGTTCACCAGATTACGAGTCTACCGCTCTTAACCACTACACCACACTGGATATGGAACAAATATAAGGTGGGGGGGGGGAGGGAGGATTTAAGCTACATTGTGCAAGACTTGAGTGGTAAAGTAACTTACTGACATACTAACCTGTGGAAGGCTAGGTTATGCTGCTACTCAGAAGTTAGGTATGATGAGGGAAAAAGGAGGGGAACCTGGAACCCAATTTGGCTGCCATTTTGTTACTGAACTGAAGTACAGATAAAGAACAAGGGTTCTAAGTTTGTGGCACCAAATTGTACTAAACTACCAGGGCTGGCAAGCCAACAAAGGTCTGTATAGTAAAAGCTATGGTTTTCCCAGTAGTGATGTATGGAAGTGAAAGCTGGACCATAAAGAAGGCTGATCGCCAAAGAATTGATGCTTTTGAATTATGGTGCTGGAGGAGACTCTTGAGAGTCCCATGGACTGCAAGAAGATCAAACCTATCTATTTTTAAGGAAATCAGCCCTGAGTGCTCACTGGAAGGACAGATCCTGAAGCTGAGGCTCCAAGACTTTGGCCACCTCATGAGAAGAGAAGACTCCCTGGAAAAAGACCCTGATGTTGGGAAAGATGGAGGGCACAAGGAGAAGGGGACGACAGAGGACGAGATGGTTGGATAGTGTTCTCGAAGCTACCAGCCTGAGTTTGACCAAACTGCGGGAGGCAGTGGAAGACAGAAGTGCCTGGCGTGCTCTGGTCCATGGGGTCACGAAGAGTCGGACACGACTAAACAACTAAACAACAACAACAACACCACCAGGGCTGGCAATTAGGCAGCTGCCTCGGGAGCTAATTTTGGGTATCAAGAAAGGGCAGCAACTTGTTAGTTCTTTAATTTATATTTATTGTGCTTTTTTATTGTCAGGGAAGGAGAGAGATGCTTGTGATTTTCTCCCCACCTTTTTTTTTTGGCCTCAGGCTCCAAATGACTTGCAGGTGAAGGCACCCCAGGCAGCAAAACATTTGGGGCTTCCTTGTAATCTATTTACATGTGAGGATGGGGTGGGATTTCGGGTGGGTTTAAACTCTGGTAACTCCTTGTTCAAATTAAATCCTTCACTGCACCACTTTTGCAGTCAGGTTGCGGGGGGGGGGGGGAAACAAGCCAAGAGAATTCTATGCGGATGCATTTTCACAGTACGTGTTCTTTGGTTTGAGAGGACTGGAGGTGGGAGGGGTTTGCTTCCCTTCTGGAATTTGAGTTTGGGGGACATTGCTCTCTTACCTGGCTGGAAGGCAGGGCGGAGCTGGAAGAGCAGCTGGAAATGAGGAAAGGTGTCCCAACAGGGCAGGTAGGCCCAAACCATCCCATCTGTTACTGCTGTCTCCGAAAAGGACAGCGGAGGCGTGTTTGCTACAGCCTTCTACCTTCTGTTGTGCCCATCATTTTGCCTGAGCTGTGGGATGACATGTAGTTAGAGGGAAAAGGCAAGAAGGGTAGGAAAAAAATGCCAGAGTCCTTGCCTCCATCTTTCATCTTGATCTTCTTATAGCTGGTTTCCACAGCAACCACATACCTGTATGTGTATGTCTTCCTCCATCCCCCACCACAGCCCCACCTCTCACCTGATTCGTTTCCCTGATTCTTCAGAGGCCATGATGTGTGTGTGTGTGTGTGTGTGTGTGTGTGTGTGTGTGTGTGTGTGTGTGTGTGTGTGTGTTGCCCAATCCCTAACCTTCTGATGTTGAGTCCCAATATTTGCAAAAGGTAAATGAGATGTGAATAAGGGGTGTGCTGCTGTGTGCCAACGGAGGTTTGGGCAAAGGTTTAGAAATTTGTCACAACATACAGTTCTTAGTAGCCTTCCCATGATTTTTCCTCTTTCATTTCCCCACATTCCCTTATACACTATTTCTTCCTTTTGTTTCCTTTCACTGTACATGGTTTCTTTCCTCCCTTTCCCTGTTTTCATCTCCTTCCAACACTTAATTTCTACCATTTGGAGATGGTGGAGCTCAGTTCCACCTGGCAGCCATGCTATCTTGTGATACTTACTCAGTGTGTGTGTGTGTGTGTGTGTGTGTGAGAGAGAGAGAGAGAGAGAGAGAGAGAGAGGGAGAGAAACAAGCAGAGGCAGGCAAACAAACAAACAAACAAACAGGGAGGTACCTGGCATCTGCTTACTAGAAGCATATTCCTTCTTTACGGTTGCATTACTTGGCTGCATTTGTTTCAAGCCTTAAAAAGGAGTTATTGTTATTATATGTTTATTTATATACTGCCTTACCTCCAGACCTGGATTCTAGTCTGCTTACAAAAATTAAAGCAGCGTGCACAAAATATAGAAAGCTAAACACGTATAAAAGATAATGGTTAAAAAGTAATTAAACTAAATTATGAGTGGAACCAGTGCCCCTCAGCCTCCAGCTTCCTTCTCACTTGGTGTGTGTTTGAGCTTTCACAGCATGGTTCCAGTTTACTGTATCCTCTCCAGAGTTCATAAAGGAGGCAATTAGGTTTATTTTGGGACCAGGAATGGGAATGTAAGAACTGCTGTCCCCCATCAATGTGTAAGCAACCCCAAATAATAGCCTTTGTGATCCCAGTGTTTACATTCTCCCCCAGGAAGCCTTCCTTTCTGCTTCAAAGGAGTCAAACTACTTAAATAGTTTTGTTCAGTTCCCACTCTAGTTCAGCTTCAACTGAACATGTTCTGGTTTTCTTCCACTTCCATCCTATAAAAAGTCAGCAACTAGAATGGCACACATAATGAACCCGTTCAGTTCCCATCCACATGAGAGAATTTAAATATAAGACACAGCATTCTAAATCAATTCACAGTTGCTGACCCCTTTGTACAGCCCCAGATCAAAGCGACTTCATGTGCTTCCTTGGTATCAACCCCCCAAATATTTTTGTGAAATTACACTTCTGCAACCTTCAGGCTCTTAAGGTCAAGCAGCTTCTCTGAGCTCAGATACAGCCAGTGACATTAAATAAGAAATACTGGTTACTCTTGGGTCTTGAGCCTTTAAGCACACCCATTTAGGACTGGTTCCCCTCTTGCTATTTTGAGGTTTCTTCTTACACACTTCTCATCTACAGTTCACTGTGGGATTCTGAGATTGATCCCAAATCAAGCCTACCATACTTCCTTAAATAGTATGAAGTTCTTAGCCTTCAAATGATGAAAGGGGTGGGTGGGTTGCCAACTATCCAGGTTATAACCCCCTTGCTCTTTTAAAGGCTCAGTTTCAGGCCTGAAATTGTCTGATGATGGATGCATTAAGAAAGATTTTAAATAAAGTAGGGATCTTTTAAAAAACAAACAGTACACAAGATGTAGAAACTTATCGCAGGGCTAATTGAAGCTCATCCCTTCCCTTTCTGTCCTTGACCTCCCCATGATAGTTCTACGTTTTCTTCAGAAAAGGGCCAGGAAAAAAGGAATCAAGGATGGGAATTAACCAAGAGCTTTGAGTTGTTCTCAAGCACAAACTATTGGGAAAAACTGGTGAGAACTGGAACTGTGAAGAGGAGCAGCTGAGGCTAGGCACAGATGTTCAAAGAAGCATTGACAGTTGTTATAAGGAGTGGTGAGTGACTTGCACTAGTTGTTTTCTTGCTACTGATGTAACAGGCGAAGGGGAACGCACACAGATCTCCCCTGTGGCGACCTGTGCAGGTTCCAAATGCATATGGAATTCACAGAGATCAATGTGAGAGAGAGATGTGCAAGCTTCCCTTTTGCACATTTATCCCAGAAGCAAGAACAGAGCAAGCAAGCACAGGTTGCTTCTGTCCCGACAAGAGACAACCAAGGCCTGCATGCATCCACTGTGGGGTTGCCAAATGTGCTGAGTTGCCACGGTTGCAAGAGAGCCACCTCAACTGTGTCTGAAATTTGCCTGGGAAGTGTATCTTCACCTTTAACATAGGAGTGATTTGGAGCGGAATAGTCTTCCATTCATATAACCAGCTCAATCTGGCTCCACCATTGCAGCTGACTCCAATCCTCTCCATATGATACATGTCTCGGCCAGTTTCTCTGTTGCTGAGATCTGGCGCTTTTAACTCCTCTACTGAGAGAACAACAAAGAGAAGTTCTGCTGGAATTCCTCCATTATGTACCTCAGGTGCGCTTGAGTCCAGAATAGGCATATGGAAGCAGGCAGCCCAGGCTTAAGGAGACAGCTCGGAC